GTGGATTTTTTTTAAAGAATATTTTCTCAATGCTTCAGCAAGGCGTGGATTTTTTTTAAAGAATATTTTCTCAATGCCTCAGCAAGGCGTGGATTTTTTTTAAAGAATATTTTCTCAATGCCTCAGCAAGGCGTGGATTTTTTTTAAAGAATATTTTCTCAATGCCTCAGCAAGGCGTGGATTTTTTTTAAAGAATATTTTCTCAATGCCTCAGCAAGGCGTGGATTTTTTTTTAAAGAATATTTTCTCAATGCCTCAGCAAGGCGTGGATTTTTTTTAAAGAATATTTTCTCAATGCCTCAGCAAGGCGTGGATTTTTTTTAAAGAATATTTTCTCAATGCCTCAGCAAGGCGTGGATTTTTTTTAAAGAATATTTTCTCAATGCCTCAGCAAGGCGTGGATTTTTTTTAAAGAATATTTTCTCAATGCCTCAGCAAGGCGTGGATTTTTTTTTAAAGAATATTTTCTCAATGCCTCAGCAAGGCGTGGATTTTTTTTAAAGAATATTTTCTCAATGCCTCAGCAAAGCGTGGATTTTTTTTAAAGAATATTTTCTCAATGCCTCAGCAAGGCGTGGATATTTTCTCAGGCCTAACAAGGACCTTACCCGATCTATTATTATTTATATGTCCCGATCTATTATACTCTCATCTCGTTAGACCCTTTTGACTGAATTTTCCCCCCAAAACATTTTATTACCAACTTCTGACTTATTTTTCACACATTTAAAGACTTATTTTCCCACATCGACAAAACTTAAAATATAAGTAGCTATTAACATAGTCGCATACATACATACATGCATATGTATGCCAAAGAGAGTATGTGTCTTGGTTATTGCATGTACAGATGACAGCTGTTGTTGTATATATAGGCATATATGTAAATTGCAGAATGATATACATTTTTATATAAAAGTGTGTGTGCTGTAAGAGGTGTATGACTGGTAAAGACCTTGAGCTTTATAAATGATTTACACTCGAGGAAATAAGAACAGTTTATATATTTTTTGTACAATTCGAAGACAAGTAAAATGAATACGGGTAATAAAAGACCGAAAAGGCGTGGGTTTTTTAAGAATATTCTTGTATGGACCCTCAAGGCGTGGATTTTTTAAGGAATATTTTTGTAAGGACCCTCAGGGCGTGAATTTTTTAAAGAATATTTTTGAAAGGACCCTCAGGGCGTGGATTTTTTAAAGAATATTTTTGTAAGGACCCTCAAGGCGTGGATTTTTTAAAGAATATTTTTGTAAGGACCCTCAGGGCGTGAATTTTTTAAAGAATATTTCTGTAAGGACCCTCAAAGCGTGGATTTTTTAAAGAATATTTTTGTAAGGACCCTCAAGGCGTGGATTTTTTAAAGAATATTTTTGTAAGCACCCTCAGGGCGTGAATTTTTTAAAGAATATTTTTGTAAGGACCCTCAAAGCGTTGATTTTTTAAAGAATATTTTTGTAAGGACCCTCAAGGCGTGGATTTTTTAAAGAATATTTTTGTAAGGACCCTCAGGGCGTGAATTTTTTAAAGAATATTTTTGTAAGGACCTTTAAGGCGTTGATTTTTTGAAGAATATTTTTGTAAGGATCCCCAAGGCGTGGATTTTTTAAAGAATATTTTTGTAAGGACCCTCAAGGCGTGGATTTTTTAAAGAATATTTTTGTAAGGACCCTCAAGGCGTGGATTTTTTAAGGAATATTTTTGTAAGGACCCTCAAGGCGTGGATTTTTTAAGGAATTTTTTTGTAAGGACCCTCAAGGCGTGGATTTTTTAAGGAATTTTTTTGTAAGGACTTTTAAGGTTTTTAAAGAATATTTTTTAAGAACCACATGTAACATTTCTTATCGAAAGAAACCCTTTAGAAGTCCATCGTTACCAGTGAATGGTCTCTTATCTACACAAGTCCTTCCGAACTTTTTCGTCCCAAGAAAATCTCAAAAAATATCCTCTATGCATATTTGCTCGATCCTTCACCAACATTTTCTCCTTGAGCGTATCCATTTTTTGTACGTCAGTTATGTGTTGTACATCTATAATACACCAGGCAGGTTAAAAGCAAAATATATATGCATGTGGGTCAATGTCATTCGACTAAAGTGACACATTATTCAAGCCAATACTTAATTGACGGAACTTACAAAAGAATTTGCGCAGTAAAGAACAAGAAGAAATAGCAACAACCGAACCAAACCGAACAACAAAAACTATTAAAGGAAATGCCAAGAAATACGGAATACAACAACAACAGCAAGAATATCAAATAAAGAAGTGATTAAACAGTTGTAATTTTTCTTGTTGTTGTTTTTAGTTTTTTTTTTGTGAAGACGAATATTTAATTACTTCGATATGACAGTTAAAGTTTATTGTGAAGTAAAGAAAGAAACATTTATTAATAGAAAAATTATTCAAAGGCGGAATGAGAGGAGTAGATTTACACGAACCGGAAATGGTTCATATTTTCTTAGTGGAGAATTTATGGGTGAAGAAGAAAATTAGAAGGTCACATCCAACACTTGTTATATTTGTAAAGTATTCTAAACATAATAACATTTTTATATTGGACCCTCAATGCATAGATTTATTAAAGAATATTTTTTCAAGGTCTACAATAAGGCGTGGATTTTTTTAAGAATAATTTTTAAGGGCCAGTAGATTTTTTAAAGAATATTTTTTAAGGGCCAGTAGATTTTTTAAAGAATATTTTTTAAAGGCCAGTAGATTTTTTAAATAATATATTTTTTAAGGACAACAATAAGGCATGTATTTTTTAAAGAATATTTTTTTAAGGACTACAATAAGGCGTGGATTTTTTAAAGAATATTTTTCTTGGCCTGGATTTTTTAAAGAATATTTTTCGAGGCCTGGATTTTTTAAAAATATTTTTCGAGGCCTGGATTTTTTAAAGAATATTTTTCGAGGCCTGGAATTATTAAAGAATATTTTTCGAGGCCTTTTTTAAGGATCCTCACGGCATGGATCACCATACCGCTTGGTATCTCTTAGACCGCTACAGCTGTCAGTTTGCTACCTTCCCAAAGAGGGTCCACCTTGTTGATTGTCTTCTTAAGGAATTCCGCAGTGTCCTTAGTGCGACAATTAACAACTTTAACCTCTTTGTATAAGTAGGTTTGGTCAAATCATAGGCTCTGTCGATCAACCTCGTCGCATAGGAAGATGTCCTTCAGATAGCTGTTAACCAGCAACCATTTATCCTCACTGATGATCCCGTCAGGGTCAGCTCGGTCCATAATTGCTACTCGCAGATCATCGGGAACCTCTTGTGGAGCAGCAGAGTCGCTGAGCGCCGTTGTAGGTTTCTGGGCTACCTGCTTTGAAACAGGGTGTTTGGCTTCCACCACACACTCACCGCTCTTGGCAGGTTTCTCCTTCGATGCTACGACCGACGTTAACGAAGCAGAGCCTTTGCAGCCGTTTGTTGTTCCTCCGAGGACCTCATTCTCTTGATAGCCGTGGGCTGTGCCAAGATTTGGCACCCGGGGTTGCAACCGCCGCAGAGATATGCCCAGCCGACGCAGGCGCCTGATTCGCGAACCCTACTTTCGGCACATCCAATAGCAACTGCCCAATTGTAAAAGCTTTGGGTATCGGCTTTAGCAATTTGACAGAGGGTGGATTGACAGAGGATGGTTGTATCTTATCGGTCTTCTTGGAGGCCTTTTTACGGGCTCTCCTTCGGGCCGACTTCGACAGTCCCCTACCTTCCGTCTTTGTGGATGCTGGTGTCTGGGACGAGGGTGGATTGACAGAGGGTGGATGTGTCTTATCGGTCTTCTTGGAGGCCTTTTTTTCGGGGCTCTCCTTCGGGCCGACTTCGACAGTCCCCTACATTCCGTCATTGTTGATGCTGGTGATTGGGACGTTTCAGTACTCAGGGTAAGGGGTGTTGAGGGCTTAGAAGTCTCAGGCATCAGCTTCCTATGTGTATTAGAAACCCCGACAGGTTTATCCTTCTTTGAAGGGACTACCGTGGTGGTCTTAGTACTGGGTCGGAGGATCCTTTCAATCATGAAGTACCTCTTAATATCGTTTGGATAGTTACTGGAGAACTTCCGGATAAATTTGAGGTTCCTCTTGATTAAAAGGAACTCCTTTTCCTTGATGGAGTCGCTGTCCCATCCGATGAATCGGTTGCAGTAGTTAACTGCTCTCCGGTACATTTTCTTGGCAGCGATCTCCTTGGCATCGACTTGCCTAGCAGTTACTGGTACTGATGAATCATCCATCTTATCGACGGGGGTCTCATCAGTACCAGTATCCATTTCGACAGCCAACTGCCTGAGTAGTCTCGCGACATCACTACAGGCCGTGGAGATTGAGTGCAGATCTTCTATCTCGCCAGGGTTTACTTCCCTAGTCAGCAACTGGGAGGTCTCTCCTTGCTTCAGAGGAGACACCATGGTCGCTACCGCGTTTTCCACCGTAGCACTAATCCCTGTAGTTTTCATGATGTTTTCCTCGTTATTAAAATTCGGCTCCATAGAAAGTGCAGTATGTGAGGGATTGAGGTCGACCATGGCATAGCCTCTTACCATGGCAAGGACTTGGCAGCTAAGCCTGAATAAACTTGTTGAGGCGCCCAGGTAACAACAAGGATCCGTTCTAATACAGTCGGGACCCTGACTGCAAACCGTAGAACGCTGATAGGCAAGACGTCGCATGACACCCCAGCGTTAGGGGGGTCACTTTAAAAGGTAGTAACCCAGACCTTTGAGATGGTTATATAGGGGCGCCATTCTCGCCAGGCGCTCGGTCATTTCCTTCGAGACTCTCCCCCTGAGCCCGCTGATTGTCCAATGAATAATATTGGGCTTCTCACCTGTGGATGCGTCCGTTAGCATTCAGCTCTGCTCCCCGAAGGCAGAGGATTCTCAACAGCCTATTTTTTCAAAAATATTTCTTAAGGACTTTTTGTTCGATATATTTAAAGACATTCAAGGATTCGTTTTATTAATTGTAAATTTATTTTGCTTTCTTTCCAGTTTTACACACATCAGCGAGTTTAGCGTTAAATGAAAGTTGGGATCCAGATGTAAGGTAAGTGATCGATTAGAACTCTTGGTTTAGTACAATGTATATTCATTTTGTTCTCTACTATCTCCCACAGAGACGACATGGAAATGATGTTAAACAAAATAGTTCCCGAAGGTCTACCCTATAGGCATTCATGTGAAGGTCCTGATGATATGGTAAGTCATCGCAATTTGTAGTGTTTTTTTTGGCGATTCATTACTAAATTTTTATTATCGTGTCCATTCAGCCTGCCCATGTGAAAGCCTGCTTTCTTGGCAGTTCATTGACAATCCCCATAACCGATGGCAAATTATCCCTGGGCACCTGGCAGGGTGTTTGGTTATGTGAGCATCGCGATCAGGCTGGTTCACGGAAATTGGTGATAACATTAAGCGGGTGTCCGAGAGAAACGGCACGCAGTCCCCTATCACCGGTGTCACCAATTGCCTCCACATCCAGTTAGGGAAGGCCTCGCTCCACCCGTGATAGTCGGTAATCGCGGGGGAGCGACAATAATGAACGCATTTCGTCGTCGTCGTCAAGGAAATTAATTTTGAATAGAAATTTAGCTAATACCAACAATTTAAATACAACTAATAAACTAATGATGATGAATAGGCGTGGCATACAGCAGCAGAATGCCGCCACCGCCTCATCCTCTGATGCAGCCACAACTCCAACAACTAGCGCATTATTAAATGAGAGTAGACAATTGTTGTTGAAGCAGCAATTAAAATTACAATTAAATTTAAATGTTAGTGAAATGATGGATAATTTAAGACGTAGCGTTGATAATGATTACAACAACAGTAAACAAATGCAATCGCAACAATATGATGGTGATCTGAATTGGAATCGGAATCTGAGTTTAACTCGTGTCCAAGAAGTAGAGGAGCAGCAGCAGCAACACGAAATGACCGTGTCTAGACGTAGGGGTAATCATCTGGTGGCTGCCACTGACACAGAGGTGATGATGGTGACAACCAGCAAAGCCAGCTATAATGCCACAGCCAACAATGCCAAAGCCTGCAATGCCCGCCATACCATGCATGCCGCCGCCACCGCAGCCCAGGAGCAGGCGAACGAGAATGGACAAAATAAATTAGATACCGTCACAACAGTGCCTCAATTACAACAAAAATTTAATAAATTTAATATAATAGCCGATGAAATAACAACAACAACAAATGCCGCTGCCGTGACGACAACAATAGGTGCCGCAACAGCAGCAGCAGTGACATTAGCGACAACATCATTTACATCAGCCGGTGTAACAGTTACCACCACTCTCATGACCTCAACGTCATTGTCGTTATCATCATCAGCCGCCGCCGCTGGATCAACAACAACATCAGTAGCAGCAGCAGCAACAACAACAACGTATACATCATTAACACAAAAACAACCATTGAATACGGCATTAGCTAAATTTAATCGAATTATTGACAATACAGTGCCGGTAATAAATAATTATCAACAGCAGCAGCCGCCAACACCATTCCAGGATGCTGCTGGCGACTGCAATACAAAATCACAACAACATGCCCCACATGAACAACATAGCGTAGGGATGCCCATATTAAGTGATAGTTTAAAACGTAGATTGGCCTCACATCATTACACCGACCTCGTTGTAAATAATTCAAAAATTAATTTCTCATACGATAGAAGAACCAATGTGGTAACAAACACCACCACAATAACAACAACAACCACTACAACTACTACATCCCAACCAACACCACCACCACACTCATTATCTCTTAGTAGAATGACAAGAACCACAGATGCATCTTCCTTGATATCTTTGGAGAGCATCGCCACCACCACAATGCCCAAAAAAGTATCAATGGAAGATGGCGAACAAGTAGAAGAAGAACAAGATTCCGCTGAAGATGGTGATGGTGCCAGACGTAGTGATTGGAAACGAAATGATGTTCATTATTTGTTGAAACAATTAAATAGTTTTAGTGATATTGAAGAAATAGAAATTGTTGATATGAAGCAAAAACAGCGTCAGCAACAACAACAACAAAAGCTTATTATTAGAGAACAACAACAACAAGAGCACCATCATCTGCCAAATGCTGCTGCCTCATCCTCCTCCTCGTCCTCCCATCTAATGATGGAGGCAAAAAATTTAACTGTGGCCTTGCCACCCACACCACCTGAACAATGTTATAATAATGTTACTAATGCTTCCTCAGATATAATAGCCCAATTGGATAGTCGTGACAGCCATTACACAAGCTGTAGTGTTCCCTTAACCTCCACCACCACCTCCTCTTCTGCCTTTGCCAATACCCATCCCCCTGTTTCCAGTTTACCTCAATACATTTCTAGCTATTCGGCACATATTTCAGAGCTTACCCAACACTCCTCGTCAACGGAAAGAGTAGCAGACTATGATTCTGAACAGCAGCAGCAGCAACGGCAGAATGATGACATCTATGTTGTTGCAGCACCCACACCCGTGGAAAGCAAGCAACATTCATCATCACCCGCACCCTCACCTTTAGTAGATTCACCCACAGCCACATCACTTGTGATATATTCACCATCGTCACAATCGCACAAAGGTATAAGGCGTTACGCCTCCCTAAATCATCAGCAGCAGCAACAGCAACTGGATGATGAGGATGCGGATAGCCAAATGCATCGTCATCAGTACCATTGTCATAATCGCCAGCATCAATGCTTTCATCCACAACATCACCACCACCACACCCATCATTATCAACAACATCCGTTTGCACACACCAGCGCCCGCCTAACACACGAGCATTATTCCGAGGGATCCATACTGGACTCTGCTGTGGCGGCCCGTGCTGCAGCAGCCTGTGATCCGCTGGCCTTACAACAATTTGTGGATGATTATATATTTCAATCCTGCCATTATTTGGAAACAAATAATTTTGCCGCCAACTATTGCACTGCCATGGTCGAGTCTTCGTCACACGAATTCCGGCCGTCAACCACCACCACCACACGCACCTCCAACGAGGAATACGACGACGAGGAGTGCTACGTTGAGGATCATTCGTCGGCCCATTCGTTTGAGCTGCACGAATGCGAACCGCCCACAGTGATATGCAAGGCACCGGCCCCGCTGCCTGCGGAGCCGCCGATGCCATTACCTATGCGCTCCTCGATGCGTAACTTGGTACCGATAACAACAATGCCTAAACCAGCAGCAGCACTCCAAGCCACCCACACCACCACGACCGCCGCACCACCACACTATACAATGGAGACACGTTTATGTAGCAGCGGTGTACAGACTGATTTAACGGCTTCATCTTTTGCGCAAAGTTTTAGCCTTAGTTCATCCACATCCTCATCGTCGTCGTCGACGGAACAACGTAAACGTAAACAGCCAATATTCAAGTGTTGTTATACGCCACTGGATCGGTGGCGGGAAAAACGGCAACAGCAACAACAAATCGAATTAAAGAAACGCACAAAAACTGTTGGTGTTGTCGGTGAGCAGCAGCAGCAACAGTTGACTACTACACATCACACCATTACTAGCAGCAGCCAGCAGGGTAGCTCCACAACAACAACAACTGCAACACGTTCATGTTTGAAAAACAGCAAAGTCAGTATTGTGACATTAAGCGGTGCTGGCACTTTGGCTGCTGTTTCCGGTTCCTCTGGCCTACACAATACAACCAACACCACCACCACAACTACATTATCATCCTCGGCCGCCGCCATTGTTGTCCATTCACAGCATCATTCTTTACCAACAAAAAATGCACCTTATGCAGTTTGACAAATGCCTTTGAAGCAACATATTTTTTGGTTTTTGGAAAAATGTTGCTTGCTTTCTAGCCATTTATATATAATATACATACATATATATACTCTTACCTTAAACTAAAAACAAACAAACAACAACAAGAACAAAAATACTAAACGATACAACAACAAACACTATATAGTTTTCCTTTTTGTAAAAATTTAAATAAAAAAAAAAATGGAAATTTTTGCCGCCCACTTAAATACAAGAAAAAAAATAAATAAAAAAGAAAAAAAATATCGAGAAAATAAATTACAAAAAAAGAAAACACACAAAACAACAACAAGATGAAATATTTAAAACAAAAAAGCCGCCGCTGTCTTATTTTTGTAAATCTATTTTTTCTCTCTTTTGCGATATCAACAATTTTTTGCTATTTCCTAAACAAACAAAAACAACAAACTTAAGGAACAACATAATAACAACAACAACAAATACTAATTTTGTATAACCTCTTTACACACAAAAAAACCAATACCAAAAGCAAAAACAAAATCGAAATCGAAATCCTATTCACCAAAAAAAGAAAAAAATTAAAACAAAATATAATTTTGAAAATACCAACAAAATCAAAATTAAATATTTCACACACACAAACACATATATTCATACATGCTGCATATACCTATAAATATTAACAAAACACGCTAAAGCAATATCAGATCTATCACCAATTGTTTATTTTTTATTTCTCATAATTTTTGCCTTATTATTATTTTCTTTTTTTTTAATTAATTAAATTAAATACACACAGCCCTTCCACTTCGCCCTAACCACACAAAATATCTTTAAAAACAATAAAATTAAAACTATTCAAAAAAAAAAAAAAAAAAAAACATCATAAAAAATTTTAAATTCACAAAACCATCTCTTCTTTCTCCACACTCACACATATTTCTCTCACACTCTCTCTCTATCTCCACAATAAATAAAGTTTGTTATAAACAAAAAAATTGTTTATTATAAGAAATATATTAAAAAATATATATAATTAATAATTGCTGAGCAAATATTTTCTTATTGTTTATTTTTTTCTATTTTAAAATACATACTAACATTTGGATTTAATATAATATAATTATATTATTATTGTTAATTAATACATATTTTTTCTCTTATATATTATATATTATTATGCTGAAGTTATTATAATTTTTTGGGTGTTTTTTTTTTTAATAATTAATTTTGGTTTATTACATCAAATACATATTCCTTATTGAATTAATAAATACTTTTGTTTATTATTTTTATTTCAAACATGAATTGTATTTTTTAAAAAAATAAAAATATTCTACATTGTGGTAAATTAAATTATAAGTGTGTCTGTATACCATTTCTTTTTAAATTGATTCTAAATTATTAATTAATAGACAACAAATATTGTATTCAAATCGACCAATGATATTCCCCTAGTACCGAAACCACACACACGGATATTATGTGAAACTTTATATTATATTTTTAATATCACATAATTTTTAATTTCAGTAGAACATCTGGTTTCCCCGGGTTGGATGTAAATTGGTAATTAGTGATCATTGGGTACCAAAAATTATCAATTATCAATCAAAATTTGGGTTGCTCCCTTTTAAATTTGGGCAACTTTTGTTCTGGGTTGCTCCCACCTTCTAAATTTCGATATTTTAGGAATTTCAAGCACTTTTTTCACCGATTTGGCTGTAAGTTAGCATATTGGATCCTCCCAATGAGTAGAAAATTTCTCTACTACATGTTTCGGTGTAGCTCCCAGATAAGGCTAGCTCCGTAATTTCAATATTTTAAGGATTTTGGGCATATTTGGTCTACCGAATTAACGGTAATTGGATTCTCATTGGTTAGAAAATCTCTATGCCAAAAATTAACAATATCGGCCCAAGTTTCAGGGTAACTCCCATATAAGGATACCTCCAAAAAATTCGGCATTTTAAGGATTTAGGCCAACGTTTGTCTACCGAAATGACTGTAAATTGGTATTTTCTGTTCTCATTGTTTAATAAATCTTTAGCCAAAAATTATCAATATCGGTCCAAGTTTCAGGGTACCTCCCATAAAAGGTTACCTGTCAAATGTTGGTATTTTAAGGATTTGGGGCACGCTTTCCAACCGAATTAATAGTAATTTGCTATTTTGGGTTCTCTTACAATATTGGCCCTAGTTTCAGGGTAGTTTCTATATAATGGCAATTCCCAAATATCGATATTTTAGGGATTTGGGTTTTTTTTCAACCGAATTGGCTGTTATTTGGTATTTTGGGTTCTCATTTCGTAGCAAATCTTTCGACAAAAATTTTTCAAAATTTTCCCAACTTTCAGGGTTTAAGGGTACCTACCAAATTTCTGTATTATTGGGTTTTAGTGCACGGTTGTCAACCGAATTGTCTGTAATTTGATATTTTGGTTTCCCATTTAGGTGGTATATCTTCCTACCAAATATTATAAATATTGGCATATTTTTAGATATAGTCCCCCATAGAACGTTACCCACGATTTTCGGTATTTTGAGGATCTTGGATACGGAGTTTAACAGATTTGTCTGTAATTTGATATTTTGAGTTCTCATTAGGTGGAATACCTTCGTACCAAAAATTATAAATATTGCCACACTTTTAGATATAGTCCTCCATAGAACGTTTCCCTCGATTTTCGGTATTTTTAGATTTTGGATACGGAGTTTAACCGATGTGTCTGTAATTTGATATTTTGAGTTCTCATTAGGTGGAATACCAAAAATTATAAATATTGACACACTTTTATATATAGTCCTCCATAGAACGTTACCCTTGATTTTCGTTATTTGGAGGATCTTGGATAGGGGTTTTAACCGAATTGGCTGTCATTTGATATTTTTCGTTCTCACTGCGTAATAAATCTCCTAACCAAATTTCGATATTTTGCGGATGTGGGTTCGTTTTTCAAACGAATTGGCAGTAATTTTGTAGTTTGGGTTATCTTGGAGCAGAAAATCTTGATACCAAAAATAATCAGAATTAGACCATGTTTTCGAATAGGTCTCATATAATGGTATTACAATTACTATTTTCAATCGAATTGGCTCTAATGGAATAATTTGGGTTCTCACTGAGTGTTAAATCTTCCTACCAAAAATTTACCATGTTGTGGCCGCCACTTATAAGTACCGATTGATTTCAGATTTAAATGAATGTCCACATCATAGTGTTCAGCCTGAATATCCATCTGATGGTGTAGGGTATAAAAATTTCGGCCTTGCCAATCACAACGATGTTTTAAAAATACTTTCTATACAATTTATATGTTTTTAAAAACTTCAAAAAATCTACTCTTTTTTAATTTTTTTTCTTTCAATATTATTTTTTTTTATTTTTACTTTATTTCAAATTATTTTGAAATTTTAAATTTATTTTTTTATTTTTCAATTTATTTCAAATTTCATTTTTTATTTTTTAATATTACTACACAGCGAACTATATACCAATCATAGCGAAAATACATTCTTTATATATATAAAAATTACAATACACACATACATACGTACATAAATCACTCAAAACAACCGACACATATGCATTGAATAAAATTAATAATACTAATAATAAATAAATAGACTCTGTTTAGAATAAAACTCTAAGAGCCTAATAAGAAACCAAACAAAAAAAACACAATTTATATAAATAAAAATAAAAAACTTATAACGAAATTGAAAAAAAATAAGTAACATTTTTATTATTACCAAGAAAAAAAATAAATAAATCGAGAAAAAAAATAATTTTTAGAAACATGAGAAGAAAAACAAACAACTAGCAATAAATGAAATTAAGACAACAACAACAAAACCTATAAATATTAATAAAAAATAAATTATATATATAAAAAATTGCTGCAATTATGAGAAAACCAAAAAAAAAAATAATTAAAATACGAAAATAATTATTTGTTAAAACAAGGCATATGAGATTATAAAGCTACAAAAAAAGAAAACACAAAAACAACAAATTTATTTTTTAAGTATAATGATAATAATTATAGAATGAACAAAAAAACCCAAAACAATATTTAACATAATTTAAATTCTAATAAAAAAATATAAAATAAAATCTTAAAAAAAATTAATATGGCAGGTATAAGTTAGGGGTTTTAAAAGTTACGGGTCTTTTAAAATTCGGGGAATGAGATTTTTTGGTTTACATTAAATTAAAAAGAAATTATTTTATAAAATAAAATTTTGAAAAAAATAGAAATATATTATATTTATACCCTTCACCACACTGTGGTACAGGGTATTATGTCTTTGTGCATATGTTTGTAACAGGCAAAAATAATCGAGATAGACACATGGTTCCTTTTGAGAATATGCATAGAATCACTTTCTAAGTCGATTTATGCATGTCCGTCCGTCCGTCCGTCTGTCCGTCTGTCCGTCTGTCCGTCTGTCTGTCCATGTTAAATTGTAAACAAAGTACAGGCCGCATTTATTATCCGAATTGGATGAAAATTGGCATAGGTCACTTATTCGGCCCAAGGACGAACCCTATTGAAATTGGGAAAAATCGGTTCAGATTTAGATATAGCTCCCATATATATATTTAACCGATTTAATGTAAACGGTCCCTATATATCTTTCGATTTGCACGAAATTTGGTACAGCCTAATCATTTAGGTCTAGAATGATGTCTGCCAATTTTCGTGAAAATCGGTCCAGATTTAGATATAGCTCCCATATATAGTTTCGTCCGATTTCATGTAAATGTTGCACCAAAGTCCCTATATATACTTCGATTTGCACGAAATTTGGCATAACGTACTGAATTGAGCCCAGAGTCATGTCTGCCAAGTTTCGTGAAAATCGGTCCAGATTTAGATATAGCTCCCATATATAGTTTCGTCCGATTTCATGTAAATGGTGCACCAAAATCCCTATATATCCTTCGATTTGCACGAAATTTGGCATAACGTACTGAATTGAGCCTAGAGTGATATCTGCCAAGTTTCGAGAAA